ATACGGAAACGTCGAAACCTCCCGTTCTCATTTTGTACAGTGATCGGAACGCTTCGGTCACGTTTACGGTAGGATTAGTGTCAACAAGGTGCGACACAACGCCACTTGTGATTGACCTAATTACCCCAATTCTCAACCACGCAGGGTGATGCTCCCGGATATACTCAGTGATAGTTTCACAAACTAGACTTGAAAGGGTATAGTTTACTTCGATCGGACAGTATTCCATTTACAGACACTCGCATACTTCACTCCAGTCAAAATCATTTGAAAGTTGAACGTCTTCCTTCCTTACTCAGTGAAAGCACACATTCAACACGGTCAGCGTTAGTCAAAACCAGAGATACCGTCATGAGTCACGACTTTATTGACGAATTAGGCTCTTCAGATGGTGCTGTAACGTCACTCACAGAGTGGAAGTGCATCGCTTAAACAACTTAAGGGTGTCTTGTTCAGTACCGGTCATAGTTGCTATGGTTGACTTCGTTAATACTCTAACCAGGACAACCGCGGCTGTCGTTCACTCCTTTGCAAAGCAGGTCAGTCCGACGGAGGTACGTATCCATTAAATTTCACTCCCATTAGGAAGACTTAACTTATGACCGCAAATGTAGCTATGAACACAGCATGGAAATTAATCATGAAATTAGAATAAAAACGTTCGTTGCAAAGTTGAAGGACCCTTTAGACCGGTGTAAATGACAATATTTGTTTGTTACAAAATCAAGAGCGATTGTTTGTCTCAGTTTTACTGTCGAAATCGACACGCGTTGTTTAGATCGATCACACACACTCCACTAAGCGACTTGAATTCGGAGCATTCACCAAGGCCAGTTGGTTTCAATACCTTTTACCCCTCGCTGATTGAGATGACTTACGGTTTATCCATTGCTTCGCATACAGCTTCGTCATTCAGACGACGCTCAGATTAGTCACCGATGAGTTGATGGAACAACAACAGTGAAGATTTGATACCGTGTTTTTAAATAGCTCCTCACTTCCTCAGCTAATTCCAAACAGACGATTTCCCTCTTCTTCAAAGAGCTGCTCATCAATAGACACGTAATGAATAAAATCTGCAATCAGATCATATTCGTCCTCCAGTGGCTGCATTATCGGCTGATTCAAAGTGCGTTTGAATCCTGTTTTCATGAAAGTGCTAATCAGTACGTGCCGGTAGAACAGACAGATATCCAAGCATTTTTGACCAAATACATGTGATCTTCCACTTCGGCTTTTTATGCTTGATTACTCATCTACCAAAAAACAACATATCTTGGTAAATATTTCCAAAACCGGCGTCTGAAAGACTAAATAACACCCCAAATCCATTGGTTGAAACACTGAAGAGCAGTTTGGAGGCAGCTTTGTTGTATGTGCGAAATGAAGCTTATCTGTAAACCATGAAAAAATATCTTGCGGTTGACATCGGACATGGACCAGTTGTAGAATAACTTAGAAGCCGATCGTGCACGTTTGAAAAAATTTGTGTTCGCGTGGTCAGCTATCGCCATTTATACGACGCAAACTTCCGGGATTTCAATCTTCCCCATAGCTTTTGGAATGATGTTTTGGTGGTTATCCTCCCATAATCAGTCAGTACTGTGACCTTTTGGTTTTCTGGGTTCCAGAAATTTTATCTCATTCTCGAATTTTCGGTAGCTACTTATAATACAAAGCTGTTTCACCAGTGTGGAAAATAATACTGGAGGTCTGTTCGTGGATCAGTTGCGATAACTTTGGTCCAAAGTCCTCCTTTGAGTTGTATGGTACCGCCATACCTTTGCGTCAAGCCTAAAAAGTGATGCATGTGAGTAGTTGCTTGTCTTTGTAGCGTTAAGCACCACCATATCTGTTTGATCAAGAACGAGACGAACTTTTGTAAGCTTTAAAGTTATCACAATGCACTTTTCGTGCTTACTCGACCGCTTTCTCACAGACGATGCTCTCCACTATACGGAACTTACCGTGCTTTTTCCTCATGGCAGTAAACCATGCCAAAGTCGTCTCCTTTACCGTTCTGAATTTTTCGTTGATTTTGTGATGCGCCAGTGCTGGCCCTATCTGTGGTAATCATTTGGTTGTACAAAGCATTGTACACAATATTCCTTGAATGATCGGATGATTTCTCTGAGTTCCACCTGGCTGGTTCAGCATATCCAACACGTTCTTTTTTTGATGACAGCCGCTTGCACATTCTCATCGTCTCCAATCGCTGACATCTGTGTGTGTTTTTCACACGGATTATCAAATCAGTGAACGGCGTCATACCTGAGTCATTGAGGGGAGTGTGACAATTCTTGTTGGTTGATCAATGGCCAAACTATACATCGGTCATCGACCAAATGAGAAACTAACAGGGAGTGCGCCATACGGGGCGGAGGTCAATTATATAGTCAGAAGATACGTTGTTATGTACACGGTTGGCTTGGGTTTGCTGAAAAATTGGGAACATTGAAAAAGGCCATTTGTCATGGGTGTTGGTTACAGATTTACTGAAATTAACTGCTTACGATATAACATACCAATATCTTTAGACCATTTGAGTGGTTAGTTTTACTGCGGACTGCACTGGTGAGATGATGATTGGAAAAAAATGAGTTTCTTAACATTCTAAGTGATACGTTTTAGTCTCACAATTAAATCGACGTACAGAATGCTTCAGATTACCAAATCCCATGTTTCCTATCCCGCGTTTGGTTGTCTTTTGATCAGAAGGGTTCATAAATACCATGTTACTTTACAACTAAATAGCAGGTATTCTACCCAGACCATTGTTCAGCATAATGTGATTGCTTCATTTTTGCCGACACGACCGCTCCTTTCATATCCCACACAGACAGAAGTACAGATCACTTTCAAAGGGGAAATTCGTCGTGGATAAACCAAATGAACAGTGAACTGAAAAACTGGGGAGCAATGTAAAGCTGTTTTGACCTGGTTAGGTCTCATCAGCAGTGTGAATCCATTGACTCGACCGGAGATCGATCCCGGGACCTCATAGGCAGAACGCAAGCATGCTACCCACTCAACCACCGAGCAGCTGACCAACCCGTTTGAATTTTCAATTTACATGACATAGTACAACCCATCTTTGCGAGACAATCAGGACGAAACAGCTTCCTTACGCTACAGTTCACGCTTCATTTGCTATATACACAACGTATTTCCCCTTTGAAATTGAATCAAATCCTCTATTATGATCATGTAACGAATCACTTTAATGTTCCTATATATTGTACAGTACGGGCACTTAATAACCGCTAAACCAGTTTTGGTATTGAAGTATGCCTCATGTCGCCAAATATTCTCCAATGGTATATTTTTACCAGATTGTAATGTCATGGTCAGTCACCTACATAAACCTCATTCCTGAGCCTGATGTTGCAAATGTTTCTAATGTTTGTTCTCACTACTCACGAGTAGTAGATATGCAATTGCATCAATTAGGGGTACACATTTTGTTTTTCGGCCCCGTGCTTGGTGTGCATAACCTGCATGGTGTGGTGCCCGCAATTTTTATATTCTTTTCATAAGCGTTCACATGTGTACAAAATATTAATCAATACAAATAAAACTCAGTTAAATCTCCCGAATTCGTCTAAGCGGGTGAGTTGATTGATGTGTGCATATTATAAAGTGAACGTGGGTCATCGGTGTTTTCGAAATGCCCCTAGTCAAGTCAAGGAATGGCTTTATACACCCTGAGAGGTGGATATTCAGCAACCACATAACCATAATGTGTCAAAAAATACGTAAAACACAAAAGTATGATACAGCAGTTAAAAGGATGTGCAAAGGGACAGCAACATCCAAAATGAGTGGCACACCTGGGTGTTCATGAGGGATTTTGTGTAGTGTTTGACGCAGATTTCCCGTAACGAGGTCTTGGTTTGTTAGAAATCTGGCGAGATAAGGAACAACAGACCGCCTGTAAGCTTCAGTGCGAGTCTTTATGAGTTTGTGAGTGGAACGGGTGGATGAGTGAGAAAGGCAGTCGCTAAGAGAGGAATAAAGAGGATGGGAGATATCTGATAAAATCTTATTGGAGAATGTTTTACAGGACATGAAGTGATGTGTCACCACAAACTCTGCTAGATGTTCCCGTGGTATGAGGCTACAAACGGAGAGAAATCTGAGGGATCGGAAATGAGTTTGAGGTCCTTGTTCAAAAGACCAGGGGAGATAACAGGGGACCCATAAAGCCAATGAGGCAAAACGCACGCAAAAACAAAACGCCTTATGAGATGGTTTGGAATGAAAAGGGATTTAAGGCGTAAAACATAAAAATTGAGCCTCCTGACCTTCAAAAAAACGTTATTGACATGGTCAGACCAGGTGAGGTTATGATTAAAAACAACACCCAGGTATTTGACAATCAGTTTTCATACCATCTGCTCACTCAGGATAGATAAAGGTGGGCTGGCGTTTGATAGTTCATCAAACTTTTGCCCTTTCAGAAGAGAAAAAATTACGTCACTACATTTTTTGGGGTTCATGCAGAGGTTTGTTCTTCATATTTGTACTATGTAACAAGTTCACTTTGAAGGTATTTTTTGGCGCTTTTTCAGTAAAAATCTACTCGACTGTTACGTATGCTAGCTCATTCAAGCTTCTTCTCAGTCTAGGCTTTCCACTAACTGGAGTCTTGTCCAGAGCTGCAGAGTGCCCAAATTCCCAGATTGGTCATTGGCGTCCCAGGGGATTCGCATTTTTCACCTTTCATTATTTGGAAGATTGCATTAAATATGTGTGCCCGAGTTTGCTCCTCAAACTTCCAGAAACGGCCAATTATCCAATAAGACCGACACCAGTTTCCAGTTCATCGTTGAATTTATGTAATGAAAGATTTGTAACCTCAATCCAATTTTCTCACATCCTCAACATCAAAAGTTCTCCTTGTATGATTAATGCATCTGGAAAACCTTCTTTTTAGATGGGCAATAGTGCAACCGATTACTGACCGCCTAATGTCCCCCGCGAAGAGCCCAAGTGCTGTGTCAGTTAGCTTATACATTTGGATTCACTTCATGCGATCGATGACTGACAATTCCATTGTCTTCCTTCTAGGTTCATCCTCTGGTCAGTAGTCGGAGACCGTCTTCCAAGTCACTCAATACTGATGCTAACAAACACGGCGGTGCTGGGGGGGCCGGATCCGGTCATCCATCCTCTGTGAGCTATAATGGTGGCCCTCGCAAAGCTGGAACGCGACAACGTGATCGGAACAAATCCCGGAAGTAACGCGATTTTCCCCACATTCCTTGATCACGCTCTCGCGGTCTCAGCTAGTACGCGGTTAGAGAATGTGACTCATTCACAGGCACACTCCTCTTCTTCACTCACACCTGAGATGTCCCTCTTTTGTGTTTTGTTATTCGTGTACAATGCTCTATCATCTACCCAACTCCACTCCCGGTTGAAAACAAAATGTGTAAATCATTTTCCTCACAATTTCCACCTGTTGATGCTAATGAATAATAATGTCAGTCGG